CGACAGTTGCGCAATGCGCAGTCCCGCCCCCCAGGGCCCGCGGGGTCTCAGCTCTCAGTGCGGTATGTGTACAATTCCACTCTGCTGGACTTCCCAAGCGCCCGCCAAGTGGCGACAATTGCGCAGGTCGTAGCCCCCCCCCCGAGGCCTCAACGAGGTCCGTTTACCACTTCACTCCGCTGGACTGGACATCCCAGGAGCCCACGAAAGGAGCGACGATTGCGCAGTTCGCAGCCCCCCCCTGGGACGCGCGAGGTCTCAACGCGATCTGTTCACAACTCCACTCCAGTGGACATCCCAGGAGCCCGCGAAAGTAGCGACCGCTGCGCAGTTCGCAGCTCCCCCGGGACCCGCGAGGTCTCGACGGGGTCAATTTACATTTCCACTCCGCTGGACCTCCCAGGAGCCCACGAAGGTGGCGACTGTTGCACAGTTCGCAGCCCCCCCCCAGGACGCGCGAGGTCTCAACGCAATCCGTTTACAGCTCCACTCCGCTGGACCTCCCAGGAGTGGCGACAATTGAGCAATTCGCAGCCCCCCCAGGGGACCCGCGAGGTCCCAACGCGAACTGTTTACAACTCCACTCCGCTAGACCTCCCAGGAGCCCCCGAAGGTGGAGGCACTTGCGCAATTCGCAGCTCACCCAATGTCCCGCGAGGTCTCAACGCAATCCGTTTACAACTCCACTCCGCTGGACTTCCCAGGAGCCCACGAAAGTGGCGACAATTGCGCAGTTCGCAGCCCCCCCCGCCCCGCCCAGGGACCCGAAAAGTCTCAACGAGATCTGTTTACAACTCCATTCCCGTGGACCTCTTTGGAGCCCATGAAAGTGGCGGCAGTTGCGCCGTTCACGCCCCCACCAGGTGGAAGACGAGGAGGAAAGGAGAAAGCAAGAGGCAGGAAGAGGACGAGGAGGAGGAGGAGGAGGAGGAGGAGGAGGAGGAGGAGGAGGGAGGGTGTGTAGGAGAGGAGGAGAAAAGCGACCACAGCGCTTTTTCCAAAACGAGAACCCACGCCTTGGGAAAGGACATGAGGCAAGACGGGGAGGAGGAGAGGGCGGGTTGGAGACCACAGTGCACGATTCGCAGCGAGAACCCAACACGGAGGGTGCGCGCACTCCTTCACCATCACCCACATCAGCGCCACCACATCACCGCCGTTACCGTCATCGTCAATCGCCGCCCATTGCCGCCATTATCAGCCAATCACCCTTATCACCGACACATGGGCCATGGGCGTAACCGTCGTCGTCGTCACCAGCATCGGCGCTTCCGTGGGCATTGCCGACGCCATCGTCAGCATCGCAACCCCCATAGCTACTATCATCATCATACAGCGGCCGCCCCAGTCACCGGCACGCACTGAAGTGCCCGCGCGTCAGTGCGGATTTTGGCACGTGCAGGGAAATTCCCCTTGGAAAGCGCCATCGCGGCCGGGTCGGTTGTGCCAAACCAACTAACTGACCGCTCTGCGCGCGAGCTTGCGCGCGCTAGCGCAGCCGCAGAGATGCGCCAGCCAGTGTCAAGCAGTCACAGCAATCGCGGCCGCATGGGTTGGGCAAAAAAAAGTTGCGGTTGGGAGGGCGGGATGATTGCGCGAGCAATATGGTTGTCGACTCCAACTTCTGCAAGGTGGAAGGCACCACATGAAATACACCACATAGATTGACCTCATGGATTACACGTCGGTCGGGAGAAGTAGATATAATAATAATATTGGGTTCAGGCCCTCCCAGAAAATACTCAAACACAGCAAAAGCTGATCGACTCCCGAAGTAGGAAGGCGCCTGAAGTAGATTGGGATCTGGGAATCCACAAATATCTACTTTCAACGACCTCATGGATTGCATGTACATCTTGCAAGAGCTCACCGTTCAGAGCCCGCACTGGCAACCATGTAGCACATGCAGCCTGCGAGACAGCAGAAAAGCCTGAATAGTGCAAAAGCTTCGACCATTGACAAAGAGAAGCCGCGACTGGGGAGGAGAAGGGGGAGAAATGCAGAGGAGGAGGAGGAGGAGGAGGAGGAGGAGGGAGGAGGAGGAGGAGGAGGGGGAGGAGGAGGAGAGGGAGGAGGAGGAGGAGAGGAGGAGGAGGAGGAGAGGGGAGGAGGAGGGGGAGGGGGGAGGAGGAGGCTAAGGAGGAAGAGGAGGATAGGAGGAGGAGGAGGAGGAGGAGGAGGAAGAGAAGGAGAGGGAGGGGGGGAGAGGAGGAGGAAAGGGGAGGAGGAGGAGGAGAGGAGGAGGAGGAGGAGGAGGAGGAGGAGGAGGAGGAGGAGGGGAGGAGGGGAGGGAGGGAGGGAGGGGGGAGGGAGGAGGGAGGGAGGGAGGGAGGGAGGGAGGGAGGGAGGGAGGAGGAGAGGAGGAGGAGGAGGAGAGGAGGAGGAGGAGGAGGAGGAGGAGGAGGAGGGAGGAGGAAGGGAGGAGGAGGGAAGAGGAGGAAGGCGGAGGAGGCACAGAGAGGAGAGCTGAACCCCGCGGCTCGGTGCCCCGAGCCCGCGCCTCGAAAGGGCCGCATTGTCCGAGGCCACCCCCTCGGAGAAGGACCGGCACTCGGGCAGGACAGATCCCGCTGCCTGGGGCGAGCCAGCCATGGGGCACACCAACGCCCCTCCCACTGCTCGCCCATCACTGTGCATCCTCCTTCCTCTCCCCATCCCTCCTTTCGAGCGCATTTTTTTTATCCGCCGCCATGACAGACGTTATGGGAGGAGAGAGGGGAGGGTACGGGAGGGGGCAAATTCAGCCCCCCACACCCCAGAGTGTGGTGCCGGGGACGTACTGTGGCAGTGCCGGGGACTCATTGAGGGGGGGAGCGTTACGTTATGGAGAGGGGGAGTAGGGGGCATAACGCGCGTTATGGCCCAAAGGGGGGAGAAAAAGGGGGAAAGAAATGATACCGGGGAAAAACCCTATCAGAGTCTTTTTTGATCTTGTATGAGATCCCTTTGCAATTGCTCCTTATGAAGTCTGTGAGGGCTATGAAGGCCATGAAGGCTATAGGGGTATAGGGCTATAAGGCTATAGAGCTATAGGGCTGTAGGGCTATAGGGCTATAGGCTATGACTTTAGGGCTATAGGGCTATAGGGCTATAGGGCTGTAGGGCTAGAGGGCTGTAGGGCTATAGGGCTATCAGGGCTATAGGGCTATTAGGGCTATTAGGGCTATTAGGGCTATAGGGCTATCGCGCTATAGGCAATAGGGCTGTAGGGCTATTGGGCTATTGGGCTATTGGGATATAGGGCTATTATAGGGCTGTAGGGCTACAGGGCTATAAGGCTATAGGGCGATAGAGCACCCGGGCACCCGGGCACCTCCACGCACTCCCTGGCACCTCCGGGCACCCCCTGGCACCTCCGGGCACCCCCGGGCACCCCGGCACCCGGGCACCCAGGCACCTCTGGGCACCCTGGCACCCCCGGGCACCTGGGCACCCGGGCACCCGGGCACCCGGGCACCCGGGCACGGCCACCGAAATCGGCGACGTATGTCACCTACACATATGAATCTGCTAGGACCCCGGCAAGCTCTGATTAGGGAACATTGTCCTCCTCGCACCAGGGCCGTTCTGGCAAGGCTGCCTGCACGAAGAGTATCGCCCCTCGAAACCCGAAGGGGCGCGCCGACCTGGCAACGATTTGGCCTGCCGTGCAGGAGGCTTCGAGCGGCACGCTCAGTCATGCTACGATGTGCTGCATTCCAGTACCTGCAATGGAGAGGGTCGACCTCAGCATGGCCATTGCCATCGGGTGATTTGGGTACAGACAGGCACAACAAAGGCAATTATGACAGGAACCTGAGCGAAGTAGCAAGCTGAGGAAGGCTCGCAACTCACAACTTCAAGGTATCCTCATACATTAGAACGCGGCTGGATGTATGCAAGCCTATACCTGCATTCCTCCCCTTCTGAATGATTATGTCTCGCCTCCGACGGGATACTGCAACCAAAACAGAACGTACTCGATGCCAAACTCGCCGCCGAGAAGAAGCGTACCTGTGCAACACACAATCGGCGCAGTCAAATGCATTCAGAACACGACACGGCTGCCAGCGGCACCACTTCATCATGTGAAACATGGGTGACGTCCGAAGAAGGGTGTGGACATGCTGTGCTCTGCGTGCCATGGCCCAACAATCCACAAATACCCACAAGCCCAAAGCGGTGCGCGTCTCATGCACCGCGTCGCGCTGCGAACCTCTCCGAGAAACTGCGACCGCTGGCGCACGCCGGTGACGATGATAGCAAAGAGTTCGAATACCAGCCTTTACAAGAAAGCGCGTGTTTTCCCCTACACTCCTGAATTGGATTCTCGATGTGAGTAGGGCGCTCGTTGCACCTCCAAGTGCGCGAATAACTTCGCGTCCTCGAGGGCGCCCTTGCATCATATCAGGATGTCGCCCTCGCCCTCGCTGGGTGCCGCAATTCGTGCAGCTGTCGCTCCCCACGGCGACCCAGTAGGTGGCCCGAGAGTGTCCCCACTTGAAGCTCGCTGAGGGGCAGCGAACGCGATCTGTGTTTCTGGGGCGACGGGGGAGAGGGCAATGCTTTTGTAGGGCAAGGGCAAGCATGAGCAGCCCAATCATCGGCAAGAGTAAACCTGAAATCAGACCTTCTCGCGAAGGGCGGCTGTAAGGATTGCTGTTGACCGATCAAGCGCGCCCGCCGAGCGAACGGGGATCTGGCCCTGGAAACAACGCTGCCCCCCCAGCGACCTTCAAGTCCCCACACAGCAGCCCACCGGCTGGCCGTTCGAAGTGCCCCTGGGCTCTCCTGCGAGTGTCCGGGACTCGCCGCGAGGCCTCTCCGACGCCCGGGAAACGCGATCTGGAACCGACGCCTCTAACAAGCCCCCCAAACCTGCCCCTGGGGGGGGGGGTCGTTTCAATGTTGCCCGACGCCCCCCCGCTGGGAATGGAGAGCAAATTGGGGCCTTCGGGTTGGGTTGGGGTTTTCTAGTGGGCGGTGGGACGAAGACTCGCCATCGCTCGGACGTCCATTCCCTGTGTTTTTTTCGGTTTCGTGCGTGGTTTTTCGCCAAATGATCAATGATGCTCCTCGATGGTCGTCACCGAAGAAAAAATGCACACGTCCGAGCGATGCCAAGAAGAACTGCATGGTGCTACTGCCCAGGCTTCCCCAGCATCAAGAGCGTTCAAGACGCACCGAGAGCCACCCCAAGAGTACCCCCCAAGACGGCTCCGGGGAGGAGCCGGGAGGCCCCCACGACGGATCCACGAGAGGCCAGGGTCGTGGTCGGGGACCCCGTCTCTTCTCACCCCCAGCATGGCCCCAAGATCTTCGGCAGGCTCTCGACAGGCCCCCGGCTCCCTTGGGGCCTTCGAGAGGCCCCTCCGAGGCAAGGAGTCCCCCAATAGGCCCCCAAAAAGACCCCCAAAGAGGCCCTCCAGAGAGCCTCCCAGAAGAGGCACCCCCAGCAGGCCCAAATCCCAGGAAACCGTCGTATTCCCAGCCATGTTTCTCGAAATCCCTCCCATGTTCCTGGAAACTCCTCCTCGCTCCTAGAATCGGGCACGGAGTGGGCGCGTCTTCAGGTTCTTTGGCCAATCCTCTAAGCCTTAATCCCCACTCCTGAGGAGTCTCTTAGAGGCCCGGAGCCCAAATTGCCAAATCTACTGGGGCGCCTCGCGTGACCCCTGGGGACCAGCGCATCCTATCGCGTGACTTTTTCGAGCCCAAGAAGGCCCCAAGACGGGTCAAGAGGGCCTCAAGAGGCCCTCGAGACGGCCTAAGAGCGCCACAAGACACCCAAGATGGCCTCAAGACGGTCCAAGAAGCCTCCACGACGGCACAAAGGCCTCCAAGAAACCTTCCAAGAGGGCCCCAAAAGGCGAAATTCATTGGTTTTCGTCAGGTTTTTGAAGAATTTGGGCGTTCTCGCCTTTTCAGCTTTCCGACGCTCCAAGACGACCCAAGAGGCCACAAGACCACCCCAAGACGGCCCAAGAGGCATCCAAGAGGGCCCCAAGACGGCCTAAGAGCGCTCCAAGACGGCCCAAGAGGCGCCCTAGACGGCCCAAGAGGGCCCCAAGACAGCCCCAAACAGGACCCATGAGAGGGAGCACGAACCGAAAATCCGAGCCGTCCGCCCCAAGAGCCCTCAGGAGGCCCCAAGAGGCGCTCAAAAGGAGCAAAGAGGCCCCCAAGAGGCCCCAGGAGGCACCCAGGAGGCCCAAAAGAGGCCCCAAGAGGCTCCAAGACGGCCCCCAAGAGGCATCAAACCTGCCTCCAAGAGGCCCCCCAGAGGCCTCCCACGAGATCCCAACGAGTATCCACTAGGTGTCATAGCCAGAACCCAGGCACAGTGGCGAGATGGGCACCAGGCACGGTAGCGGAATGGGGCCAGGGACCCCTGGATCCGCCCCGAAGAAACCTCAAGACGGTCCAAGAGGGCCCCAAGAGAGCCCCAAGACGGTCGAAGGGGCACGAAGGTCAACCCACGAGGCTAGAACAGGCGCCAAGGTGCTCCAATATCAGCTGGTAGGCCACACGGTGGGGGCGGTGACTCGCCGAAGCCCATCTTCCCTGCGCAACATCGCATGAGAAGCACAGAGATACGCAGTTGAAGGAAGCACCAAACGCCGTGGCGTGCAGTGTGGCAGGAGAAGCAGAAGGGGTCGGAGTAGCGCACCGCCTCGCCGATGCCCTGGCGACGTATCGGCGATGACGGGATGAAGACGCGGTGCTCCGGATCGCGCCGCATCGCAGATGCATCGGAGCGATGCGGCAAGATCCTCTGGCAGTACCGGCGCGGCCTGCGGTGCTCCCCCCCCTGCGTGCTCTGGCCGTCGGAAGCCCTTCCCGAGACAACGCGCCGCCTGGACCCCTGCGGCCCCCTCGAATCCGAGGGGCCCAGGGGCACACAAGCAAATGGACACAACTCCCAGGACTCCCTGTATTTCTGCACGCGTTCTGGAGCTCCGTCTCCCCCTCCACTTCCCACATCTTCCCGCATTTCCCTGGGAATCGACGTCGAATTGTTAGAGGCCTCCCAGATGGGGTCGGAGTAGGCAGGGTCCAGGGATCGCGCCGCATCGCTGGCACATCGGCGATGCATCGGCGACGTCGACGTGAAGCAAATCAGGCTCCACATCGAGCTGGATCGGCGGTGCATCGGCCATGCGGCGCTGGGAGGCCCTGATTTGCGTCTGTATTTTTGCTCCTCCCTGGCCCTCCGCCGCCCCCGGGGCACGGCTGACAGCAGCCACCGCCAGGGCGAGACCATGCAGTGGAGCGACTGAGGCCGGGCGCCGCGGGGTGCGCGCGCGCCCGCCCCTGGGCGGCGAGGCGGGGGGAAGTGAGAAGGGGCGAGCCTGCTCAGAAGGCTCGTAAGTCCCCCGGCCTTCTGAAAAGTTCCCTAAGCTTGGGAGGCAACTACTGGGAGGTCTTCGTCGGAAGGACGAAGGAGGATTGACCCCCATTGGGCGGCTGCTGCGTTGGATTAGGCCGCGGATTAAGCGGGATTCAGCCGGATTGAGCGGGATTAAGCCGGATTAAACGGGATCGAGCCGGATTAGGCCGGATGTCGGACCAGGGCAAAGTCTGAATTTGACCTCCTAGGAGTGGCATCCGAACTAAGCCGTCCCCGAAGGCCCCAACAAAAACCTCTCAGAGGGCGCGAGGGCCTCTGAGAAGTCCCGCCGCCTTCTGAGGAGGCCTTCTCTTTCTCCCTTCCCCCCCCCTCGCTCGCCGCCGCGCCCCGCCACCCCGCAGGACGACCGTGCCGCCATTCGTGCAAGAGCGGCTGCCAAGCGACGCCTCGACTGACAAGTGTTAGGTCGGGCATGTCCCTCCACAGACAGATTTTGGAAGAAAACAAATTGTACATATTTATATATATATATATATACACACACTGTAAATGTACTAAATATCAACACACATGGACTATTTTAAAAACCGGAAAATGTCAAAGACAGTCGACAAATCGTCCCCAGACTATTTTTTCCCAACCATCCTGTGGTGTTGGGTCCTCGTTTTGAAGAGACGGTGCCTCGCGTCCTCCTCTCCTCTCCTCCTCCTCCTCCCTCCTCCCTCCTCCCGTCATCATCATCATCGTCATCATCATCACCATCATCGTCGTCATCGTCATCGTAATCACCGTCGTCGTCATCATCGTCATCATCGTCATCATCACCATCATCCCCATTATCATCGCCGTTATCGCCACCATCATCATCATTGTCATCCTCCTCCTCATCATCAGCATCATCATCATAATCATCATCATCATAATCATCATCATCCTCCGCACCATCACCATCACCATTACCATCATCATCATCATCATCATCATCATCATCATCATCATCATCAGCATCATCATCATCATCATCATCATCATCATCATCATCATCATCATCATCATCAGCAGCATGCGACCCCTGCACCCATTTCGGCACACCCCTCACACGTTTCGTGGCCCCAAAGGGAGCTCCACCGAAGGCCCCAGTGGCTGCGCTCGCATGCGGTTCCACCCCCCATTTCGGCACACCCCTCACACGTTTCGTGGCCCCATAGGGAGCTCCACCGAAGGCCCCAGTGGCTGCGCCGCATGCGGTTCCACCCCCCATTCTGGCACACCCCTCACACGTTTCGTGGCCCCATAGGGAGCTCCACCGAAGCCCCAGTGGCTGCGCTCGCATGCGGTTCCACCCCCCATTTCGCACACCCCTCACACGTTTCGTGGCCCCATAGGGAGCTCCACCGAACGCCCCAGTGGCTGCGCTCGCATGCGGCACCCCCCCATTTCGGCACACCCCTCACACGTTTCGTGGCCCCATAGGGAGCTCCACCGAAGGCCCCAGTGGCTGCGCTCGCATGCGGTTCCACCCCCATTTCGGCACACCCCTCACACGTTTCGTGGCCCCATAGGGAGCTCCACCGAACGCCCCAGTGGCTGCGCTCGCATGCGGTTCCACCCCCCATTCTGGCACACCCCTCACACGTTTCGTGGCCCCATAGGGAGCTCCACCGAACGCCCCAGTGGCTGCGCTCGCATGCGGTTCACGAGCTCCACCGAAGGCCCCATCTGCGCTCGCATGCGGCACACCCCTCACACGTTTCGTGGCCCCACAGGGAGCTCCACCGAACGCCCCAGTGGCTGCGCTCGCATGCGGTTCCACCCCCCTCGCACACCCCTCACACGTTTCGTGGTAGGGAGCTCCACCGAAGGCCCCACGCATTCTCGGCACACCCCTCACACGTTTCGTGGCTCCATAGGGAGCTCCACCGAAGGCCCCAGTGGCTGCGCTCGCATGCGGTCCACCCCCATTTCGGCACACCCCTCACACGCTTCGTGGCCCCATAGGGAGCTCCACCGAAGGCCCCAGTGGCTGCGCCGCATGCGACCCATTTCGGCACACCCCTCACACGTTTCGTGGCCCCACAGGGAGCTCCACCGAAGGCCCCAGTGGCTGCGCTCGCATGCGGTTCCACCCCCCATTCTGGCACACCCCTCACACGTTTCGTGGCCCCATAGGGAGCTCCACCGAAGGCCCCAGTGGCTGCGCTCGCATGCGGTTCCAATTCGGCACACCCCTCACACGTTTCGTGGCCCCACAGGGAGCTCCACCGAACGCCCCAGTGGCTGCGCTCGCATGCGGTTCCACCCCCCATTTCGGCACACCCCTCACACGTTTCGTGGCTCCATAGGGAGCTCCACCGAAGGCCCCAGTGGCTGCGCTCGCATGCGGTTCCACCCCCAATTCTGGCACACCCCTCACACGTTTTGTGGCCCCATAGGAAGCTCCACCGAAGGCCCCAGTGGCTGCGCTCGCATGCGGTTCCACCCCTGATTCTGGCACACCCCTCACACGCACTCGCGCACTGGCAATCCCATTCACAAACAGACGCACTCGCGCTCAGACTCATCCGCGTTCAGTCTCTCGTAATCAGAAATCTGATTCTCCTTCGCGTTGTGTGCCCCCGCCACACATGTCGGCACGCCCTTCATGCGGTTCGTGGCCCCGTAGGGAGCGCCACCGAGGAATATATCCACAATTGCGGTATTCACAACTACGCATGGTTGGGTCTTTCGTCAGGCTCATCACTACTTTTGAGCACGACTCCACCTGCAGAGGGACATACCCGGCTTGAGACGGGTGGTCTAAAGGGAAATTAGGACACACAAATAAATACACACAAATAAAAATAGTCCCCATATTTTCTCATATTTTCTGGGTTTTTGTCTTCCCCCCCAATTCCCATATTTTCCCATATTTTCCTGGGAATCGAGGATTAATTGTGTCTGTGTGTTTTTTCCCCTCCTGATGGTCGGCAGGACTCGGCGAGGCCGTGGCTGCCCCCCCCCCAAGAACTCTCCCTGGAGCCCGCGGAGGGCCGTGGCCGTGCGTGGGGGGGGGCAGGGCGTGGACGCCTTGCCTCGCGTTGGCGGCGAGCACCCTCTCCTCCTGCTCCTCCTCCTGCTCCTCCTCCTGCTGCTCCTCCTCCTCCTCCTCCTCCTCCTCCTCCTCCTCCTCCTCCTCCTCCTCCTCCCCCTCCTCCTCCTCCTCCCCCTCCTCCTCCTTTAGGGGGCGAGCAGAGGGGGGTAAGGGGGAGGGGGGAAGGCCTCTTAGAAGCACCCCTGCTTCTTGGGGAAGGCCCTGGCCTTGCATGTGTATATAGAGAGGGCCCGCACCCTCTGAGAAGCAGGGGTGCTCCGAAGAAGCCTTCCCCCCTCCCCCTACCCCCCTCTGCGCGTGGCTGATCACTGCCGACGCCCCGGGCGCCTCCACTGGGGCACCAGTGGCCACTCTTAAGGCGGGCCTGTCCCTCTACACGAGGAATATGCAAGCATAGGAAAAAATAGTCTGGGGACGATTTTTCGAGTATTTGTTTGACCATCTTGGAATATTGTTGGGGTATTATTGAATTTTCCTCGAAAATCGGCCTCTAGGGGAGCATGCCCGACCTAAGGCCACTCCCCCGACGCTGGGCTCGGCACTCGCAGCCATTAGCCGCACACCTCTCCACAGACCGCCCCTCGTGAAGGTCCTGCCGTGGCCCTTGCCCGCTGGGGCCCAGAGCTGTCCCAATCGCGCGCGCTCTGTGCAACCTTCTTCCCACCCTTCGATCGCCTGCAGTCTGTCTTTCGCCCGCGCTCCCTCGTCCCAGGAGCCTCCCTTGCGTGTCTGTCCTCCCACCTTACTCTTTCCTCCCCTGACCACTGACCGTCCCTGCATCACGCTGGGGCACACGTGACAGGCGACAGACTGACGACAACTCTGGCGAAGGGCGCGGCATGGGGAGCAAGCGGCGCTCCATCCGAAGCGTCTGCCCCCTCCTATCTCGCCTCCTCTCCGTCGTGCTGCTTCCCCCCCTCCTCCGCGCCCATACAACCAGAGAGGGGCCCTGGGCTCCCAAGAGAGCCGGCACAACCTGCTCCGGCCACAAGGGTGGGATGCTCGTGCTGGGGACCTTACTGGAGACACTCGCTCCACTCGTACGTCGAAGCTGCGTCGAACGTCCGTCGACCTGAGTCGAACCTAAGTCGAACTGGAGTCGAACTGGAGTCGAACTGGAGTCGAACTGGAGTCGAACAGGTCCATTTTGCGTGCCCCGGGAAGGTCCCCCGAAACGAGCATCGAGCAGGGGCATTCCGGCGCGCTCGAGACCGGGCCCCGAGAGCGGCGCCGAGGCCCGCTGCGGCGAGGGGGTTCCGCTGCTAGCGGGCGGCTTGGCATCGGGGGCCGCCAGGACGCACGCGGCCGCCGGGCTCGAGCCGAGCTGGCCGCCTCGGGGCGGCCGCTCTCCCTGCCGCCTGCCCTTCCCTGCCCTCGCTCCTCCGGCCCACTCCTCTTCGGTGGCGACTCATACAGTGGGGGCGTTGACCTAAGGAACCCAAAATAAGGAACGAGGACCCTTTTTTTCATAAGTTAGCCTTCGATTTCCTGTCGAAAGCATAAGGAAAGCCTGAGGCAAGCTGTGAAACACTTAAGGAACGCGGAGCCCCTCCCCAACGAACAGGGTTCCTTCTTCAGGGCCCCGACTGTATTTTCGTTGTCCCCTTGGGGGGGGCCTCCCGTACCGTCTTGTCGGCTCCTGTGAACCGACGCAAGTCGACGCTAAATCGACGCTGGTCGACGCTAGATCGAGGCCGATTCGACGCCAACAGACGCCAAATCGGCGCTACCTCATCGGCTCCCAAACGCTAGTCGACGCTAGACGGTGCTGAAAATGGATTTAAGAGGGCATAACAGGCTCCCATGAGTTGCTGCCGAACTCCTGCCCGTCCGTCGCCCGCTGGCCCCCGGCCTCTCGGCCTCCCCATCGCCCTTCATACGGGGCCCAGACATATATACCACCCCCTCCCTCTCCCAGGACAGAGGCCAGGAAGAGGAGGGTAGAGGAGGGAGGAGGAATTGACGTGGTGGTGGTGGTGTAGATTCCTGGGGTTAGGTCGGGCGTGTCCCCATACAGGTGGATCTTGGACGAGAAGTCAACGTGCCACAACGGTCTGCCGCGTCCAGGCGGGCAGAGTCTGCCGAGGGCGGCCTCGCTGCATACCGTATAGTCCCTGGGATGTCGGGCAGCAGGGTCCTCGTTGGATACAGTCGGAGCGTTGACCCAAGGAACCCTAAATAAGGAACGAGGCCCCATTTCATGAACAAGTTGAACTTCGATTTCCCATCGAAAACCACAGGAAAACCCAAGGCAAACTGTGAAGCAATCAAGGAACACGGAGCCCCTCCCCAACGAAAAGGGTTCCTTCTTCAGGGCCCCGACTGTACAGGATCACAGCCCCAAAAAAAGGCCACGAATATCCCAACTCGCACCCGCTGCCAGCCGGCTCGGCCGTGCCCTGCACACCGCTCGTCCGAAGCAGGGCCGCAGCCCAGCCAGACAGACGCTGGCGCTCAGAGAAACCTACGCTGCTCTGACGGTGAAGTTGCGGCACGACCGACCCACTCTTGGTGTGATACAAATGCTCTCTTGGAAAGAGTGAGATGCAGAATTAGATGGGGGGCGGCGCGGGAGAGACGCAGCAGGCAGCGGAGAAGGAAACGGGCGTGGGGTTGCAGAACACGTCTGTGCAGGGGGCGCAGAGGCCAAGATCCAGGGAGCGAGCCTCCCGATGCTCATATCCAGTGGAGGGATGCCAGCAACAAAACGGCAGCCCCCTGCGCCTTCACAGTGGCCATGGCGCATTCCAGAAAACGATGTGTCCTTCCGCAGAATGCCCTGGTAGCATCATGCCAGCCACCGGATCGAACGGAAGACTCGCTGATGACAAAGAGGGGTGCTCGATGGTTTACACTGAGGCTTACAAAATGCGAAGACAGGACGCTCCAGCGGATGCGCGCAGACTCGCGCAAGCAGGCGCGCCCAGCCAAACCTTCTCGGCCTCGAAATGCAAGTCACGCGCCTGCCACTACCCTGTTGACAATACGCATGAGCGTAAGCGTATCTGTACGTGGGGGGTCGCAGTGAGTAGGGGGGCGAAGGGGAAGAGGGAAGAAGGATGATAGGCGCCGCCGAAGCCCTGTCCAGCCCAAGACCTCCTCCAACTCCTCCTCCTCCTCCTCCTCCTCCTCCTCCTCCTCCTCCTCCTCCTCCTCCTCCTCCTCCTCCTCCTCCTCCTCCCAAAGGGAGGCGAGGCGAGGGGACAGAACGGAAGGGCAGCTGGGCGAGACGGAAGGCACAGAATGAGTCTCGGCAACTGGTGCTCTCGTGATCGACCGACCTCGAGGCCCGCCTCCACGACCACCGCCCCTGCCAGCGCTGAAGACCTCGACCCATCCCGGTCGCAGATCGATCAAAGTGTTTCTGCTGTGCCAAATGACAGAACTGGAATCGGACGGAGGAGAACGCGAAGAGCTCAAGTTCTTTTGAAACCACATATAACACGCGTTGTGTGGCTGGGTGGGTGGGCGGGTTCGCTGGCACATAACATCAACACGTTGCGCGCGCACTACGAGCAGCATACCTGTGCGCTAAACGACAGGCGCTGCTGCAACGGGGGTGGATGAAGCGGAGGGCGTTATGTTAGCTACTGGGTGGGTGGGTGCGTTGGAGGCCACATAACGCGCGTCATGTACTCGAGTAAAAAACTTCAGCTCGAATCACTCCTGGGGACACATGCCTGAAACAATCGGTGCCGCGCGCGACCTCGACAGGTCCAGGGACGGCCCCCCGCACGACACTCCCCCTAGCAAAAGGTGGCCTGGGTCCCGGCAGGCGATCCTGCTTAAGGTGGTCACTGACACGGGTTCATGGGGAGGGCACGCTGAGGGGGCGCCACATCAAACTGCAGGCGTCGCTTCGATTAGCCCCGCACGGCCCAGGCTGCGACCCGACAGCCCAAATGATACGGTGGCCACCAATCGCGCCTGTCGGAGCCCCTCCCGCACTGCCGACGCTTACTGAAACGCTCAACGCACTCTGCTGGCCTGCACTGTGGCTCAATCTGTTCGTACCTCGGGAATTACCCTTCCCCCGAAGCCACGTGAAACCCGCGTGCAACCCGCGCGAAGGAAGCATATTGGGCTGGCATCACGACAAACCAATGCGAAAGTATGCTTCGCAAAAGGTCGTCAGGAGCACATGAAGGGCACACAAGACTGGCGTGAAGTGCGGGCACCAACTCGACGACCACGACCTCCCCAGTGGTCGCGGTCGCCTCTGCAGAACCTGCATATGCAGCCCCCCATCCCCTGCAGCTGCAAACCCATCTCCCAACCTCAATAGATTCTGGGTAAGCAGCCACCTGCCGGTCCTTCATGGCATCCTCCAACTGCCAGGCAGCCTGGCAGAGATCCCATATCATGTCTGAACATGGTTCCGCTCAAATCTCTTTCAGGACGCAGGTAGCTGGCATTAATCACACGTGTCAGACTAGACAACATATCTGTCCATTGGAGTGGGCGAGGGAACTGAGAAACTGGTGAAGGAACGATCAGGAGGAAGGGGGAGTGAACACCTGCATTATCGGATAGCCGCTCGGACTGGCGACCCCCTTTCGGAGAGCGGGATGTCAGCTCAACCTATGTTCTGGAGAATGTTCCGAGACACACTCGGATTGGAGCCCCATTCTCATTCTGGGAGAACGTAGGGACTCCTTCAGAAAGCTTTACGAAGGCGCGCCGCTGGATGACCGCAAGGGGAGGAAGGAAGGAGTTCCACCCCCCGCCCCCCCTCCCCCTCTTTCCCTGGTCCGCCGTCGCGGGGTCCCAAATGGGGGACGGTGCAACCCCCCCTTCCCCTTGCTCCGGAACCGTAACCCTAGCACCTAACCCTAACCCTGACACGCTAACACCAAGCCCTATCACCCCAACCGCAGTCCTAATATCCTAAACGTGACAGCCGATCCCTAATCCTACCTCACTGACGGCAAGACACTAACCGCACCTCTACACACCCCAATTCTAGCCCTGAAAAATATCCTAGCAAAAGACCCAACCATACGCTGCCGTGAATACCGCGTTGTCGGTACACTTTCGGTGGAGCTCCCTATGGGGTCACGAACCGTGTGAGGAGTGTGCCGAAATTGGCGTCGGGCGCATGCGGGCCCTGCATCTGGGGTCCTCGGTGGAGCTCCTTACGGGGCCACGAACCGTGTGAGGGGTGTGCCGCAGCGGGCTTTGGACGCATGCGGACCCTGCATCTGGGGCCCTCGGTGGAGCTCCCTATGGGGCCACGAACGGTGTGAGGGTTATGCAAACATGGGCTTTGGGCGCATGCGGACCCTGTCGCTGGGGCCTTCGGTGGAGCTCCCTGTGGGGCCACGAACCGTGTGAGGGGTGTGCCGAAGTGGGCGTCGGGCGCATGCGGACCCTGCCACTGGGGTCTTCGGAGAAGCTCCCTGTGGGGCCACGAATCGTTTGAGGGGTGTGCCGAAATGTGCGTCGGGCGAATGCGGACCCTGTCGCTGGGGCCTTCGGTGGAGCTCCCTGTCGGGCCACGAACCGCGTGAGAGGTGTGCCAAAATGGGCGTCGGGCGCATGCGGACCCTGCCACTGGGGTCTTCGGAGAAGCTCCCTATGGGGCCACGAACCGTGTGAGGGGTGTGCCGAAATGGGCGTCGGGCGAATGCGGACCCTGCCACTGGGCACTTCGGTGGAGCTCCCCATGGGGCTACGAACCCCGTGAAGGGGGTGCCGAAATGGTTGACACGCGGAGGGCAGAGGCAGGAATGGGAGGAGGGAGGATGGGGAGGAGGAGAGGAAGGAACGCGGGGCGCTGTCTCTTCAAAACGAAGACCCAACACCACAAGATGATTGAGAAAAAATGAAACCATAACCTAACCTAAGCCTAGCAAGATTTACGAAACCTCCCGAACCCTAGCACCCCAACCGTAACACCCTAACCCTGAGCACGAACCCGAACCCTGACATCCTAGCCCCAACCCTGACACCATAACCCTAACACCCTAACCATAGCACCCTAACCCTAACACCCGAATCATAGCACCGTCACCGTAACTCTAACACCCTCATCCGAACCACGAATCCTCACCCTAGAACCCTAAACCGAACACCCCATAGACCTAGCACTCTCACCCTAACATGTTAACACTAACATCTTACTCATATCCCTGGCACCCGAACCGTAACACCTAAATCCGAACTGACTACCCTTGTACGCTAGCACCAAGCCATATCACCCGAACCTTGACCCTAGAACCTAACCTAACACCCGAGCCCTAACCCTGCCGCCGGATCCCTAAAGCCCTGAGCGTTGTCCTAGCACGCTAACTCCAGCACCCTAACTTAACAAGAACACCAGAACCTTTGGCAGCGACCCTAACCCTAACGAACCATCCTAACCATACATCTAGCAAACTAACCCTAACACCTTGGCCCTACGCTCTAACCCCAATCATCACATCCGAGCCTTGCCACAATAATCCTAGCTCTAACACTCTCATCCTACCACGCTAACCATTACACCCTAAACCTAACACACTATGCTAAAGACCGTAACCCTAACACCCTAACACCCTAGCCTGATATAAACACCCTAACCCTGACCCGCGAACCCTAAGAACTACTCCGAACACCCTAATCCTAACACCATAAGCCTAGCACCATGACCCTAACAACCCTAATCCTAGCACCCTTTTGGTTGCTGAGCCCCCGTCAGCCTCTCCCCCTCCTGCGCCTCTCTCTGCACTCCCTTGTGCGCCGCCATATCGGCTCACAGGGGCCCTTGAGCTATCTTGGCGCGCTGGTGGCGGACGCGCCCACGCCTCCGTAAAAAGAAAGGGAACGTGCTCTCTTCTAGCACGGGCCCCCCCTATTTGCACCTCGTGTCTCTCTGTATCCATGCAGTCACTCCCGTGCAATCCACAGCGGCAGCGGAGCCTGCGGTTGAGATCCACGAGGGGAGTCAGGACGACTCCCCTGTCATTCGATTCTCGGGTGAATAATTCTTTAGTGTTTTTGCCGTTCTTCCCGCTCTCTGCTCCACTGCACCGAGCGCCGCCATGGATTCCACAGACGACGCTCAGCTTCGAGAAGATGAACTTCCAGCAGATCCTTGGTTACAACCAGATCAGGATCTTTGGGCAGGAGCTGGAGGATGAAAAGACGTTCCTTGGGAAGGCGATGACGATGTAGGCTGGTCAGAGCAGGACTGGGCCCGCTGGATATCCAAGCCTTGGACGGAGACATAGCCCAATACGCAACAATCCTCATCAGGCTGGACTGCGCGGGGACGTGGTTCGCCGGCTGCACCAGATCAGCAGAACGCGCCTCTGCTGGGACAGGCTACGCCTTTTACCCCCTTTGCTCCGACCTACTGGGGAGATACCACTGCCAGATCTTCTGATCGCCAACGGGGGCAATTTCCTGAACAATCGGAGGCCCAAAAAATACCAAACGATCTCCCTCCCACTTAGGATGGAAAAGATCCAGATACTCGTCTAGACCCTTATATGAAAGAGCTGCAGATGTGGCTCGCTACTACCAGAACTTTGAGAGCGCAACGCGGATACATCATCGATCGCTATGCCAAAGACAACCTCAAGATCATCATTAACGAACTGACCGAGGACCAGCTGTCTTCAGAGGACGGCGGGCAGGCTGTGGTGCAACATGTCAAGGAGGCTTTTGCCGAGTACGAAGACCGCAGGATGCCAAAGGCTTTTGAGAAGCTTTTCTACGCAGAAAACACCAAGCGTAAGCGAGATGAATCCTTGGTCAACTATATCGCGCGTAAGCGCGTGATTTCCGAAAAATCGAGAAGCACGTGACCCTGCAAGAAGACTTGAAAGGGTATATGCTTCTGAGAGAATCCAAGCTCGATGACGCTGTTTGGGATACGGTTGAGCACTGGACAGAGGTATCATACGACTTTGATTAGCTGCGTGAAAAGCTTCAGAAGCTTGAACGACCACTACCTTCTGGCAAAGGCAGCCATCGTATACATGGCATGAGATCATCCTCGCATTTGTCGGATATCAAGGAGATGATGACGGATACGAGGATCAGGAGTCGGATCACGACGATTTCCAATGGATTATCATGCAACATTATTTGTTTACTTTGCCCGAGTCCTATATGTAAGACGAGATCATACACGAGGCCCATCAAGTACATGGACGACGACGGTGTACTCTTCGTAGCTGGGGACTTGCCCGACGACGTGGTTCTCGAAGCGGATGAGGCCATCGTCATCGATGCTAATTTCAGCCAGGTTTGACAGTACTTACATTAACGGAAGCTTGGACGAAGCTTCTTCAAACAGCAACCCCCCAGGGGAAAGTCCAAAGGCTCCCGAGATTGAAAACGTCGAGGGAAACGCACTGGACATGCCCGACCGAAGCGGTTGACCAAAAGTAAGTTGATGAGTTGCTCGAAATGTGCCCGATGTGGGAAGATGGAGCACTGGGTCTAAAATGTACGAACGAGCCAGACGGGCGAGGACGCAAGCGACAAGCAGACTTCGGCGGCTTCCAAGCAGTTCCCGTCGGAGCAAATGATGACATGCATGACGTTTGCCAACAGGAACATACTATCCAGCCTGGAGTCAGTTCCTTTACCATTCCTGTATTTGCTACTGCCGACACTGGAGATCAGGTTGTCATTGGACTTCAGGTTCAGATGGGTTTCGGTTTGGTGGATACTGGAGCTCAGCATGGAGTATGTGACAAGCATCAGTTCGAGAAAATGGTGAAATATCTTGGAGATACATACGGTCTGAAGCCTACGCAGATATCGACTCGGGAAATGGACGCCATGGGCGTTGGAGGATCTACCATGTTTCTCTTCAGCTGGACCTCCCCTATTGCCGTGGCAAAGAACTGTGGTACTCTTACGGTGCATTTGATTGCCTGTGTTGTGCCCTTAATACATCCAGTGGAGATGCTCGGACAGCTTGGCATGGTCCTTGATTTGCCAGGTGGAGCTATCACTTGGAAGACCGTCGACGGCAGCCAGTCGAGAGTGCACGAGATAGGGGCGGGCAAACACATTGCGATCAATAGTTCTGATGTTCCCGAGGACGGTTGGCAGAGAAAGAAGAAAATCAGAACAATCTCTCCCAAGACTCACGGGTGCTATCAAGTCGTCAGGCCTGAGGACGCCGCATTCTACGTGAATCCGCAGGCACCCTCGGCTCAAATCGGTCTTTCTCAGCAAACTGTTCACTCTCCCGACACTTCGTGCGATGTTGAACCGCGCGGAGCGCATCCTGGCCGAGGAGGAGCCACAGCCGGAACCTCCGACAAGGTCAAGTAAGCCCACGATGACCCCAGAGAAGCGGACGTGGAAATGGAAGCAGTTCTGTCTGAAGCTGTTCTCCATG